CTAGTAAGGTAAGCATGTCTGACGGCAGAAATAATTTACATTGAGAAGATTGTCACATGAAAGTCTCCAAAAAGTCTTGATTATGAACAATAGAAGCTAACAATGCATTTCCCGAAGGTGATAATGAAATTTTTAAGACAGGAAACGTACTGGAGAATTGAGGAGAATTCAAATGCTGTATTTGCTATTGTTACAAAAATTCAAGCTCTCAGATTTTTTTTTCCGATCTGTTAATTTTCTTTTCAGTTCTAAATTTTCGATGGCTTGTGTCCACCTTCATCAGGGTTGAAATGTTAAAGTTCATTACTGCTCACGCTACAACCCCACTTGCTGTCGTGTTATTGATTTTCTAAATCAACAGTAAGTAGGCAAAAAAATCTTAGAGAATCTCTATCTGTGATTGCAACACTGGAAGTAGTATTTTCAGTCACATCAAAAAATCAATATTTATATGATTTCTTTGTCATACTAGAAAAATATACACAGGTGCAGTAGAAAAAGAGGTAGTCAGGTGCCTGAGCTTTAAACATATTGTTACCCCAGTACAGACAATCAAAAGAAATTTATATCGGAAAGCCCTCAAGCAAATCTGATGCAGACCAATTAAACTTACATTAATAAACATTATTGATTTTAATTTTGTGATCCACTGATAGAGTTTGATACATGTAATCACAAATGGTCTAGGTTTAAGCCTTTGCTAACCTTTATACAGAAGAAAACAGCTCAATGCATCACTGAAGGAGAATCCATCCAAGGATTAAATTATTCCAGAAATTGAATTATTGTTTAAGGGGTTTTATTGAGGTATTTAAGGTCAGAATGGCTAATCTGGAAAATCTGGACTATACCCTTATTCCAGAACAAGGTCAATCAAACTCTCTCCTAAACAGTTTTGTTGCTCTTCTGCACCATGATCAGTGCACACCTGCATTACAAAGTCAGCATGTATTGAACATGAAGAAACACAAACCTCTTGGTCCTGTTGCCAACTCTCCTTTTCTGTCACTGTCTGCTTCTGTGTAATCTGAAGAGGATAGTGAAGCTTTATCTCCACTTGCATCTGATGAGAAGGAGAGATCTGATTACATGGCTACATGTTTCATTAAAGTGGATAGGAACTGACATGACTTAAAGAAGGGGTTTCAGCGAGGTTTTTTATCAGAAGGGCATCAGGGTATGACATTTGGGCAGAAAATTACTTAACATGGTCTTTGCTTAATAATGGTCTTCATTAAAAATAGAATTCAAAACATCCGTTTGAATTTACAATAAAAAGATGTAAATAAAGGAGTATAAATACAACCTAAGTAGGAACAGAGAAATGGTTTAAAATGAAGAGGATTATCAAATAAAATCCAAGGTGGGCCAGAGCATTTGAAAATGTGCTGGATAGAACACACTTGGCCCACCCCTACCATTTGGCACACAACAGAGTGACCCACCCCTCAATGAAGGTGAAGAATTACATAACCCACCCCCTATAAATCATGACAGTTTTTGGTTGCATAATCCAAAAAAATCACATAAAAAATAAAAAAAATCACATTGTGTATTAACTTGTAGTGAACTTTACGTTTTAGATATATTTCTTTACATAACACAACAGGATCTAAAAATAACATTGTTTTCCTTTACTCTTGTAACTTTCAAGTCATCTCTGTAAACTGTACAAAAAACTTGACCACAACCCCCTGCATTCTCCGCCTCTGGCCTCATTTGCCGTGGAATGGTTATCCATCTCAAGAAAGGTTGTAGTGAGTTCTGGAACTCACACAGTCAGCAAACCAACCTTGTTTCCAGGGTCTCTCATCTCACTCCAGGGTGTGGGAAGATGAGAGACCCTGGGAACGAGGTTGCCAGAAAACTTTGAGTGTGAGTCTCAGATCCATGAACATAAGTCCCGTACCCTTGTGGATAAATAGCATGTAGACACAAGTTGGCCACTTGGAGTCCTGAGAGACTAACATGTCGAAAGAGCATAGTCAGTTGGAAAATTTTTGCACTGGGACTCCTGCTTGCTCACTCTGTTAGAGTTAGGGTTACGTTTCGTACATATTCACATCTTATAAGTTACGTTTTATATAAAGACACAAAACAGGACTGAGAAGTTTTTGATTTTATATCATATTAATATTGGCTCAATGCATACAAAATTTAAATGTGTGGCCAACTGTTCCATTAGCATCAAGACTTTGTAAAAAATATATAAATGTGTGCCAATTTGTGGTATAAAATAGGATCACCGACCACCATGGCTAGCTAAAAACTGAAAGACCCACCCCTTACCAAGGGCTAAAAAACTGATGACCCACCCCTCTCTGCTCTGCAGGGGTTTCATTAACAGTTTCAGCAGGAGGGCAACTGGTTTTCACAGGCAGGCAAATATTTTTGAACTGAACGTCTTTATAAGAAAAACATTCCTCTAAATGGTCAAACCAGGTGGACAAAATCATCCTCACAGCCCGTAAATTTGGCCAGTGCCTGGCCCTTAATAAAACCCCTAGCTCTTACTGACCCCTTCCCCCCCACCCCGCCCCGCCACAATATTTTTTGATCGGTCCCTAACATGCAGTAGAACAGCATCATGGCCTAGAGCTGTAACAATTTTACTACATATGAATATTATATTCTTCCTTGAGGACCCAATACAGCAGAAAGAACAGCGCCAAAACTTCTCACTAATTTTTTCCACAACATTGAGTAATTAAAAAGTCTGCAAATGATCCCTAGTCATCAACAGAGTGTCACCATGACTATCTTTTGAACTGATATTAAGACAAGGTGGCACCATTATCTTAATGACGGCAACATTACCACCCCGTGAAGCATTGTTTAGTAAGTTCCTTCCAGCATGCTTTTAAAAGATGGAGATGCTCTCTTGTCTATAAGAAAGTTAATTGCTTCTATCTCAGGTGTATTCTTATATGCTCATAAAAACTGATACTGATTTCATTATCTGCTCTTCTCAACATGAAGTAGCCTTTTTGGGTCATTTTGCTTCTTGTAAAAAATTTCCTCTTTTCCCCAGGCCACCTCGCCCCTGTAATAAGACAATGAATCAAGAGAGCATGGATAAAGCATGGATATAGCATGAATAAAGCATGGTAAGCCTGGATAAAGCATGGATAAAGCATGAATAAAGCATGAATAAAGCATGGATAAAGCATGGATAAAGCATGGATAAAGCATGAATAAAGCATGAATAAAGCATGAATAAAGCATGAATAAAGCATGAATAAAGCATGAATAAAGCATGGATAAGCATGGATAAAGTGTGGATAAAGCATGGAAAAAGTGTGGATAAGGCGTGGATAAAGCATGGATAAAGCATAAATAAAGCATGGATAAAGCAGGGTTCCACGGGATTACAAAAATAACACAAATTACTTGTTGCTAAGACATCATTGTCACTTTTGTCCTTTTTGTCAGCGAAGTGGGTCACAGGTCTTTCTGCCAGTACAGTTCTATTTTTGCAAGAATCTGAGGATAAAAAGACATTGTTACTGAATAAGCAGTGTTATTTTTCTTTTACCAACATCAATAAATCATATTACACTTAACAAACATTCTGGTCATATGCAACAGAATTTCTATGTTATTAGCCCAGGGGCGGGGACTCCCATATCAAAAGAATGGGGGTGTGCATCAGAAAAATTTTTAAAAGAACCCCTGAGAGGTGCCATTAGATACTTTGTGAGTGTGGCTTGAAATTTTTTCACCTATATAAGAAACCAATTTGAAAAACAACAGAGTAACTGACACTGACTTTTTTTAGCACAATACCCCAAAAGGTACTGCAAAAGCTCCTGCTGAGGCCCTGCTGAGGATGAACACCCTAAGAGCTACCAAACCCGTTTTTTAACCCCTAAAAGGTACAACAAGCAGCAGTGTACTTTTTATAAGGGAATTCCCCAGGGGGGTATTACCGGTAGGTCAAAATTATGAGTAAAAATAGTTTGAACTAAAGAAAAAAATATGCCTTCTTAATCAAACTATCCCATAACTCTGATTTCTGTAGCATGAACCAGCTATAAGAGAATTGCTTATCCTCCTAGATTGGATACTGGTCTATCTCACATCCCGTCAGGTTGCCTCAACAATTTGCAGGTACACACTGCCTAGGTGATCGCTAATGGGAAATCATCGCTTATGAGAGCTTGGACAATATTGGGTCAAAATTTTGCCTCATTAGCATATGGTAAATGCAGAGACTTCCCCATGTGCCATCCCCATCTAACCCATGTAATAACTTTTTTTAGCCACAAATATATTCTAGCTTTCTAAAATATTTAGTCAGAGTATGGCAATGCTAAACTACCTAATAAGGCAAATAGAACAAGTCCCATATGTTACAAATTGAATCTTGAATGTTGTCTAAATGTTAGGGGGAACTGAACATGAACTAATAAGGATTGGATTGTTAACTTTAATTTTGACAGCCCTTTTATATTGCTGGTGATTTACATGTTAACTGTTGACTGTTCTTGAGTGAACAGTGAATCAGGAAATCATTTCTAATTTTCTGTAATTATAAGACATTTAAGGTTGTGTCTTTTAAGACTGACAGGGTACAATGTATGTGCATTTTTCGTTAATTACATTTTCAAATGTTTTATTCATGTTAAAATTCAATTTCGAGAAAAAATTCCGTACTTCCAAATAAGAAATTTCTGTCTCTTTTACTACCAAAGAATGCGACAATATTGCAACACCTAATTATTCAATTTCTGCTCTATTTTCTATCAAGGGGTTGCTTACGGGAGGTTAAAAACAAAAGGTCATTTCAAACTTTTAACTCTAAAGGTGGTTGCGGTAGCTTATGAGAGGTGGTTGCTTACAAGAGGTTCCAAATATAGACATTTGACTGGAAAACTTTTAGTATTTTGGAAACCTGGTTGCTGAGGAGAGATGGTCGCACCCGGAGGTTAGACTGTAATTACCAGGTGGAGAGAGGCACTGTGAGAGGAAAGAGTCTTTCTCAAGAACACCACACAGAAACGATGACCCTAGCCAGGGCTTGAACCAAGACTGCGAGCAGGCTGACCTTTGAGCTACATGTGCGAGTAGCAAAGAGGGAAGCAATCTGGCAGGGTGGAGTCTGGTGAAGATCAGGGTGCCAAGAAAGTGAGCCTGCCTTGATGTCTGTAAATTTTTCATTTCTACTTTGCCTAAGTGAAGTGAAACATCATTGGTCAAATAGTGGGAAAGGAGAGAAAACTGTCAATCTATTATGTTTGATGAAGAGTAATTATATTAGATCCCAATTGAGTCCACAACTAACTACAGCTTCTCAAAGTATAATATGTCATCCACATTAATACTTGGAGTCAGAGGAAGAGTTGAGTGTGCATATTATTTTATAACTGATGTCTTGTTACGAGTGACTTAAACTTGCCAAAAAACTGAGGACTCTTGCAAAGAAAGATGAAAGGATGACAAGAAAAATGTTCATATGGCTGCAACTGATGGACCAGTATGTTTACTTCGTGAAAAAAAAATAGAAAATAAAAAAATAAAAATACTGCCACTTGTTTTATTGTGCATCCCTACTGTGCATTAGCATGCGCACATGAGCGCAGGCACGTACACAACATAAGAGATTTCTCCCAAACTAAGCCCAGGAGCAAAATAAATGCTTGTTTTTTCTTACATGAGCATGGTGACCTATTACAGGTATTTTTCATCGCATAATTTTTGTGCACAAATTATCCGCTTTAAGTTAAAAAATTTTAAAAAAATTGTTCGCAAGGAAAAAAAAATCTAAAACAGTGCACAAAAACTGTTAGTCAAGGAAGTGAATTATGACCACGAAAATGACAATTCAAGGAACACTGATGTGAAGTATATATGAAATAATTCATATTTGAACTGCGGTTGTAGATGAGAGTGAAGAATGATCATTGCAGTAAATTTTCCAATTTAAGCAATTGGAAANAATTGCTTAAATTGGAAAATTTACTGCGATGATCATTCTTCACTTTCATCAAGGAACACTTTAAGTCAATGTCGCTTAGAATTGTGTGATTTTTCTTTAAATTATATCATAGTTCCAAGTGCCCCAGACTTTCTACCAACCAAGAATTTTTCAAGTATTACTTTAATTAATAACCTTTGCTTTCCATTATCGCATAATGTGACGTTAACTGATGGAACAACATGTGTAGTTAGGCATAAATTGGGTAAGAATGGCCCATCATATCTCTTAAGGGAGCATGGTGACCTATCCTTTTTATTGTATTTTTCGAAACAGTGCTTGGTAGGGAACAATCAGAGAAAGTTTCAAAAACATTTTCGGCAAGTTACATTTCCGAGGAATTACCTTAACAAAGTTCCAGTCTATTTCTGGATAAATTTCAAACTAAAGAGGGGGCTGGTTGAAGGTGCATTGATGAAACAAGACATACTTGTCGTATGATTTGCTGAACTGCATATGGCAAGAGTTAAATATTCCAAATGTATGTGATGGCAAGCAGGCAATGAAACAACACGAAGGCATTTGCCTTTTTTTTCATCATTTATGTTTATAATTTTTGTAAGTCTTAGTTACACAGGCCGTTTTATATTTTGGTATTTTTAACACATTTTACATGCATGCTTTTTATAGATCTTTGTTTTAGTTTGTTAGCTTCTCTTTATATAAAGCACTTTTGAATATTTCATAGTATTAGTGCTCTATAAATGTATAATAATAATAATTATTATTATCATTATTATTATCGTCGTCATTATTATTATTTGTTAAATACTGAGAAACCCTCCGATGGTGTCTAAAAAGGGTTCGATTTGGCTGGATAAAATCACACACAAGAATTGCAATTCAACATGGCGAACCCTAACAAGAACTGGCGCCTCACTTTAAAGTGCATGTGTTAAACTGCTGACAATACATAACACTTCCTCCCCCTTTTAAATGTGTGTCACAAAAGCTGAGCAGCACCAAAAATACATGGCAATAACAAACTAAAACTTTCTCATATCAACAAAACTTTTACTGAGAGTAGATAGTGTTCTTAGCCTTAAAATGTCCTTAAAGTCACAAGTCAAGCCTATCTGGGGCTTTCCTCTCTCTGGCTGGGTATCTGCCCTCAGCTCTTATGGGTGTGTTCCTTGGAATGGTCTCACTTTGGTGCTGCACCGGAGATGGTAGTTCAAGCTCTGGAACTGCAACAGGAATTTGCTCTGGAGACATAGCAATTGGCTCTTGAGCTGCTGGAGAGCCTGGAGGTCAGGACTAAGGAAATGGTTCAGCAGGTTGGTCTTGAGCAGATTGGTTCAGCAGGTTGGTCTTGAGTTGTCTTTGAAACACTAACACTCGATGGTGGCGGTGCACTCAATCCCAACACTGGAATTGATGACTCCTCAGGAACCACTTCCTCAAAAGCCTCTTCACAATTTTCACGTTCCGTCTGCAGGAGGTGATCAATGGGAACATAATGCAGTTGGCAACCAACTCCCACCAGGTAGGTCAATGGTCCCAAACGTCTTATCACTCTACCTGGAACCTACTTCTCCATTCCTCCCCGGGTATTTCACACATTCACCAAGTCATCTGGTGGCAGTTCATGCAATTTGACATGACTCTTGTCACGCTGCCGCTACTGTCTGCTTTGCTGGTTCTGGATGTGCTCCTCCATGTTTGGTAGGAGAATACTGAACTTGGTGCGAGGTTTGCATTTCAAGAACAGTTCTGATGGTGTTACTCCTGTCACTGAGTAAGGAGTGTTTCTACTGGAACAGACAGTTGGCTACTTGGTGTTTCAGTGAATGTTTCTTGCCACGTCTTCTCGCACTTTCAGCATGTTTGCATAACACTCTCTTCAAGATCTGGACTGTGCACTTTGCTGCCCCATTGGACGATGGATGGTATGGAGGTACCAGCGTTTAACTCCATTCTGGTTAAGGAAATCTGTGAATTCCTGGAAAATGAATTGGGGTCTGTTGTCTGAGACAACTTCTTCTGGCAATCCATATGCCGCAAACCACAGTCTTGTTTGATCAGTAGTGCTTTGAGCAGTTGTGCATCTCATGTGTGCCACCTCTATCCACTTGGAATGGCTGTCAATCAATCCAAGGAAGTAATTGCCATCTTTCTCTGCAAAATCAATAGACACTCTTTGCCACACCTGAGTAGGTCATCTCCATGGGTACAATGGTACACTAGGGGGTGCGTTCCTCATTGCTTGAAAACTTCACTGGTTCTCCCGGTCAACTCAATTTCAGGATTCAAATTTGGCCACCAAATGTAACTTTGGGCTATTGCTTTCATTGCAACAATACCAGGATGTTCTTCGTGTAATTCTTGCAACAGCCTGTTTCTAAGTGATGGCGGAATGATAACACACATTCCCCATAAGACATGTCCTTGGTCAACTGATAACTCGTGTCTTCGTGTGAAGTATGGTTTCAGTTCGTCACTGCTTACATAATTTGGCCACCTAGTTAGCATAGAATTTAACACTCTTGCTAGTACAGGATCTCTT